CTCAGAATTTTGTCTTTAATCTCAGAATTTTGAATTTTTTCTTAGAATTCTGAATTTAATCTCAGAATTTAGAATTTTTCTTAGAATTCTGAATTTAATCTCAGAATTTTGTCTTTAATCTCAGAATTTTGAATTTTTTCTTAGAATTCTGAATTTAATCTCAGAATTTTGAATTTTTCTTAGAATTCTGAATTTAATCTCAGAATTTTGAATTTAATCTCAGAATTTTGAATTTTTCTTAGAATTCTGAATTTAATCTCAGAATTTTGAATTTTTCTTAGAATTCTGAATTTAATCTCAGAATTTTGACTTTAATCTCAGAATTTTGACTTTTTTCTTAGAATTCTGAATTTAATCTCAGAATTGGGACTGAATAATGATAGGTAACAGACACGTGAGCATCAAGCTGTAGCCATGTCTGTTTTAGAGACTAAACTCTCTTGTTTTAATAACCTTCTGCTTTTCCATTAATGAAATAGCATCACCGAGGACCCGGTGAAAAGTCAGAATTCTGTTGAAAAAAGTCAGAATTCTGAGATTAAAGTCAGAATTCTGAGATTAAAGTCAGAGTTCATATTAAACTAAAATAAAATTTAAAAAAATCAGTTAACTTTTTTTCAGTGGCCCTAATCCTCTTCAGTAGGAAAAAAAAAAACGTTTACTGATTTTTAAATATTTCAGTTTAATATGGGGGAAAAAGTCCAAATTCAGACTTTTTTCGTAGAATTCTGAATTTAATCTCAGAATTCCGACTGAATACTGATAAGTAACAGACACGTGAACATCAAGCTGTAGCCATGTCTGTTTTAGAGACTAAACTCTCTTGTTTTAATAACCTTCTGCTTTTCCATTAATGAAATAGCATCACTGAGGACCCGGTGAAAAGTCAGAATTCTGATTTTTTTTTCCCATATTAAAATGAAATAATATTTAAAAGTCAGTTAACTTTCTTTTCTTTTTTCTGTGGCCCTAATCTTCTACTGTAATAAACAATTCAGATTCAGTTTATTTATATAGCGCCAGTTCATAGGGATAGTAGGATTCAGCCTCACACTATCCCTCTTCTCAGTGTTTTAGTTTTTGTTCATTGAAATAGGAAAAAGGTGCCTTATATGAGACATATTTTTATGAAACAACAAGCTTTTTAAACAAAGAGTCCATATCCTGCACAATGTTTCCTTCTCTAAGAACAGAAATAACAAGCATTTATAAAAGCAAGTAACCAGGGCCATGTGGAAGCCTATCTAAGTTCTATCTCCAGCAGTTAGAGTGAAACACAGGTTACAACCTGGAAAGGTTGCCAGTCCATCACAGTAAAACACACAAACATAACACGTTTTACTGTAATATAGACCCCCCCTTCAGTGTCCACCATATTGGATCAGTCCATTTGCTGCACATGTTCAGAAAGGTCCAAACAGACAGCAGCAAACTAATTGAAAACAAACGATCCAAAGAGCAGTGTTGCCAACTTAGCGCTTTAGTCGCTATATTTAGCCACTTTTCAGACCCCTCTAGCACTTTGATTTCAAAACAGTGCCTAGCGCCAAATCTAGCGCCTTTTTTGTGCTACTGGAGACTTTGGAGACAACATCTAATTCAGAGTTCCCCCTGCCTGTCTATGCCTATGGCCCTAAATTTCCTAAATCCGCCCCTGACCTGATATGATATCAGCATGAATCATTCACGCTTTTATTGTTCACTTTATAGTGTCGAATGATATAAAAGGATTGATCAATAATCAACATCAGGTATGAGAGCAACTGACCCATTTACTTTTCAGCAAAGTTACATAAACTTTAAAGAAAAGTGAAGCTAAATGTTTTCATGATCTTTCTAATACCTGAGATTTCAGGCCAATATATTCCGTTATTAATTATTAAAATACACAGTTATTAACATAGTAATTAAAAGTACCACTGTCTGCTTTGCTCTTGGTGTCGTGTTTAATCGGCTCACCATCATGTTGAAATCTGCCATGTTTTGCCGTATAAAAACGGTCCGGTGCGGTGAGTCACTTCAGTATCAGGTGGGTTTAAGAGTATTTTTTTGCACCATGACATCTGCAAAGAGACGTCCTAATCTACAATTGCGTAGGGGACCTACCAGGCGTCAGTGATGGGGCCCCTAAGAGGTTGTGGGCCCGTAATTAACTGCTGTCTCTGCCTTACCGATATTTACGCCATTGCTCCCCTCGGGGATGGGTTAAATGCAGAGTTAATTTCATACTTGTGACAGTATAATGACAATAAAAGCACTTTCAGCATGCTAATGATACAAAACATAACCCAAAATATGATTCACTCGCCACAAAATGTTTTATGTCCATGTCAGACATCAAACCACCAATAGAGAACTTGTGGGATGGCCCAGAGGTTAAAGAAGCATTTTAATTATTCTTTTCTTTTCTTCCCAGATTGTTCAGAAGTTTCTGGAGCCACTAACTTGTATTATAAGGCATTATAGTCTGAAAATAATTTTTTTTCCCCCTATACAAATGTATATTTTTGGTTGTGTCCTTCTTTTTAAACCAGAGCTCCAATGAGCCTTTCCTCTTATCTGCTGCCAGCTCTTCAGGGCTGCCTGCAGAGGGACGGACGCAGACAGCAGTTAGGCTGGGAGGAGAGATAAAGCAACTCAGCTCCAGCAGCCAGAAGCAGCGCAGGGATAGATCGAAAGTATAAACACTAGATGTAGGCTGAAAGCTTCTCTGGGCGTCCTTGCTGCTGAGTTACTGGACATAAACCAAAGCCCGGGAGCAAGGTGAGCATAGCCCGGCTGGGTGCCAGGTACACAGAAAGCAGAGCAGCTTGACGGGGGATAAAACTCCAAGCTGCAAATCCATCAAATGGAAAAAAAAAAACACGTTTCTACAGCACAATAAATCAGCGCACAGATCACAAAGGCTTATATAATCTTTATTATACAAACTTTATTCTTTTAAAGACCCTAAAGACTGATCTATTGACCTGTCATCAACGTTCAGTGGGAGGGGCTACAGGCAGGGTAAATCCTGGAAAGTGTGGCCACAACCTCACAGGTTTACACACAACCAGACAAAAAAAAACACTCAAAATAATATTCCTTCTCCTTGAGGACATTTTGTCAAGAGTGTAGCAGCTGCTAACCTACTGAGACATGGCTGGGCATAAACCAAAGCCAAGAAGAGTAATAGTTAGAGAAGCATGGTAGCTTCTGATGATCATTTCCCTCAGTGGAAGAGGGCCAATAAGAAAGAAATGTTAAAAAAGCAAGACTTTTATGTAGTCCTGTTCAACGTTTGTCAGAAATAGAAACATGTGACCTACGGAGGCTTTGGTCCTTGACCTCAACGCCGCCTTCAAATGTTTGGATCCCGGTCTGGTGACCTTTGCTGCGTGTCTTCCCCTTCTCTGTCCACTTTCACAAATAAAGGCCACTTGAGCCTAAAAACTGAAAAAAAACTTGAATTATTTAAAAAAAGAAATGTCAAAAA